GGGGGGAGGGGAGAATGGGCAAGGGGTGGGAATTTTGACATTTTCTGAAAACAAAAATTCCCACCCCTAGGACTACATAATTGGTAAAAAGTACCAAAATTCCCCATCCTGGGACAAAGAAATCTCATAAACATATAAGCATGCAGAGGATTATTGACCTGTATTTAAGCAATAGAGCACTTTTCTAAACGCGAGGAGGATTAGGAGAATTCGAGACAGTTTTGCAAACCTGAGACACAGTGGTTTGCATAACTTTCGAGAATTCTCCTTACCCCCGGAGTGTTTAGATGAGGTTTTGTAAACATGGAAAAAGTGCTCTATTGCATTTATAAAATAATTCTCAAAAATACATGCGAATCTAAAACGTCACAACTGTGTATACATACTCTCATCTTAACACACCTATCGACCAATGAGAGCGCGCGTAGTAGCTCAGTTACTTTATAAAAAAGGATGAAAACATAGCTTCAGTTTTTTCCTCTGTGACTACTTTCCAACATGATTTCCATTGGGTTCTGAAAAAGACCTCACTACTCCAACTGATAGATGTCCAACAGTAGTGATTAATCGTAGACATGATGATAGATGTGAATGCAGCCATAACACTACTGGAAAAAAGACCTGAAAAAATTTTCTGGCTTTGAACGGGATTTGAACCCATGACCTTTGGGATACCAGTACAATACTTTCCCAACTGGGATATCAAAGCCACATGGATATTTACAAGATGGCAGATGGTTCATTACCAGTGAGTCTCTCTTGGTCCTTCAAGATGACGACAGTGTCAAATGCCTTACCCTGGGGACATTGTGTACATATAATCAAAATCCCTACCCAGAGGACAGACTTCACAATCCAATTCCTGAGGGTAGTCTGTACCCCCCTGGGCATAGCACAGATGGGTGCATTTCCTCTATATAAAATCCAAAGAGGGGTTTAGTATGCAAAAAAAAAACCAGAAAAAAATGGCAAGAGAACCTCATAAAAACCATGGGGCTTGTAAAGTTAGGTTCCCTCCCAAGAAATACAAGATGACTAAAACTAGTATATACATTAAACTTATTCCTAATTCATGAGTTTTACATCAGAATATATATCTTTGCCAGGGTTTTTTTGGACCAGTTTTTGATATATTTTAGATTTACAATTCATAATAATTTCAGACAGAAATGGCACAGGAATTATTGATATTGGATTGCCTTCTCCATGCACAATCACCACAGGCATCCCGAACTCATGATTCGAGGAATCAATCAAACATTTATTAATGATTTATGTACGCGTATCGAGTGGGATGTGACCCCCTAAAGTGCGTGGTATTGTGTTGCGCTTTGGGCCGTTGAGAATTTGAGTACTTTAAAAGGCATTTGTGTGGAGTTTAAAATAAAGAAGGATAAAATAGCGCAATGAAATAAAATGTTACTTTTTTTGAATAAAATAAAGAAAAATAATGTACTCACCTTGCCTGGTTTCTGTTTTTCATCGTTTTTGGGGGCTTTTGAGGTGTTTGTCGCAGCTTTCTACAGACGAAGTCAAGGCTGGACAGAGCTGTTTCGAAAACCCTGTACTGCGAGGCCGTTTTCTCGCTGTAATTTGAATCCGCTGCTCAATTTTCCCCTATAACGCAAAGAAGGATAGTCCATTTGTCTCCTTTTCTGGTCGGAAAAATCTGTCTCCTTTCTGCCCCAATTTGGACAATGTTTGCTTCACTACTAGAGCTTTCAACTGTCTGCCGTACCTTGTGACCGTCCTTTCGAATACTGCACAGTTTGAAATCAACATTAGTGGTCTTACATTACAATGAGATGTCAGAATGCTCCTGCAGGGTTGTTGGGAGAGAAGGGTATATTTTAACTGAAATTTTTGACTGTACACCTGTCTGTTAAGTCTGGAAATCAACATTAGCCACTGCTCTAGTATGACAACTGCAACTTACCAGACAGGTGCACAGTCAAAAATTTCCATTAAAATATACCACCCTCTCCCGACAACCCTGCAGGAGCATTTTGACACCTCATTGTAATGTAAGACCACTAATGTTGATTTCAAACTGTGCAGTAGTCAAAAGGACGGTCACAAAGTACTTCAGACAGTTGAAAGCTCTAGAAGTAAAGCAAAAATCGTTCAAATTGCAGCAGAAAGGAGGAAGATTTTTCTAAGCTGACCAGAAGAGGGGACAAATGGACTATCCTTCTTTGCGTTATAGAGGAAAATTGAGCAGTGGATTCAAATTACAGCGAAAAAACGGCCTTGCAGTACAGGGCTTTCGAAACAGCTCTGTCCAGCCTTGACTTTGTCTATGGAAAGCTGCGACAAACATATCAAACCCCCTAAAAACGATGAAATAGACCAAACGGACAACAACAACCATGCAAGGTGAGTATATTAGTTTTCTTTATTTGATTAAAAAAGTAACATTTGATTTTATTGCATGATTTTATCCTTCGTTACTTTAAACTTCATACAAACACCATTTAGAACGCTAAAATTCTCAACGGCCCAAAGCCTAACACAACACCGTGCACTTTAGGTGGTCACGTCTCACTTGATACAGGTACATAAACCTTTAATATTTGATCCATTCCTCAAATCATGAGTTTGGGACGCCTGTGAAATCACATGCTTAAAAGAAGGAAAAATATTTATTAATGTACATGTAAGCACTGGCATCAAAAACAGATTCTCTAAATATAACCTGCAATGAAAACGGTCAAAAAGTTATCCACCAGGTCCTCTATATCAAGGTCAGGATTTGTAGTTGCTTCTTTAAGAATGTGTTCCAAAACATCCTTGGGAGTTTCTGCTCCATTCTTCAAAGCCAAGCATCGTTCTTTGATGACTTCTGTGGCAAAGTTTCGTAGAAATTTTATTGCCTTGATGACTGAATTTTGATATGGAAACATGGAAACGTTGAACATCCAGAATGGATTTTGAAAACTTGCCTCGATTCCTTCAAGTACTTTTGACACTGCGGTAGGAAACTCGGAGGCTGGATTACGTATTGTGTCAAGATCGATGTTGAATCCAACCTGAAATAAGGAAATATTACCTATCAGATATACCCAGTAGTTACAACAATCATACGCCATTACAATTTAAATTCAGGTTTCTATTAAACAGTTAGGTTATTAGCTCAAGATTTCTATCATGTGATAGTTGACGAGGGTGCAGCCCAAGTCAACTATCAGGAATAGAAGTCGAGAGCGAATAATCTAATTGTTTTTAATCAGTATAAATCTACCAGACCAATCGTTCAAAACTCTAGCTAAACCTTCTTCACAGGCACTTCAAAAATGCAAAGAATGGGCTTTAATTTTGATAACAATTGCATACTGCTACAATCATGGACAAAAGTCCTTGGGACACCTATGGAATTTAACGAATTATCTGTGTTTTACCACTGAAGTTTGAAAAAAATGCTCCTTTCCTTTGAAAGACACGTTACTGTTGTCCCTCCCCACCCAATACAATGTTGAAAATCAGAAGAAATTGCAGCTAGTAGTTTTCAACATTGTATGGGGGGTGAGGGGCAAGGTTAGGCAGGTGAAGTAGTATTCACGTCTGGCGTGTGCGCAAGAGCACCAAAAGCGCAAATTTGTCCCAAGACTTTTGTCCACGGTTGTAGGCTACTCACCATCTACAACAGATTAGATAGCGAGTAGCGTAGCCAATCAGTCAATGGCGTCCGTGATAAAACACTAGCAAATTTATATGTCTGCTATTTGATAGCTAAGAAAACCAAACATCTGTGTGGATACCTGCCAGGCTTTTTCTGAATCACAGGCATGGGATTTTCTTCTGAAGATTTCTAATTTATGCATTTTGAACATTTTCTGTTCCCAATCCCAGGATGTACTTTGTCAAACATAAAGTGGTCATCAGACTTTTCTCTTGAAGATCGGAGAATTGGGGGAGTAGTCACTGGTCCATGTTTATGTATTTGCTGAAAATGGTTGGAGCATAGAAAGACCTTTCTATATATAGCTGTTTCAAGAAAGGTTGTCCTGTAAAACATGTAAAAAGTGTATGCAACAATACCAAAAGGTGTTATCTATACTATACATGTAGGTAACCTCCTAATGCAGGTGTTCTTAGAGCTTGTCACAAAGATTGGAAGATTACGTGACAAGTCCTAAGAGCGTCTGCATAGGTGGCTAATCTATAGTAGTCTCAGAAGGAAATGCCATGAATTTATTAACGAAATACGGTGAGCTTTGATAACCAACAGAAAACAACAACTACCCATAACACCTTTGCTATTGCCAAGTATGCTCTTACACCCTGATTTTTTTGATTGATTTTGACCATAACCTAACTGGGTATAGGGCCAGGCTCTTACACCATACGACAACCTTACAACCTTGATAGAAGTATGGACGGTAGCAATAAGTAGTCCCGTTTAACTTTTTGTTGAAATAATGTAGAGGAGTTATACTGTATATATATTTTTTGGAGTTTTAACATTTGGCATCAATATAGAGTTTCAGTAGCTATCTTTGGCTACGCAATAAAACATGTAATATTTAACAACCACTGATTAACTCTCCCGTAAGTGGACATCCACACTATATTTCATAGGTGTCCACTTATGGAAATAACTCTCATAAGTGGAGAGCTCTACTTGTGGACACTTTTTTCCAGTTCTTGAGGGTCTCCACTTACGAGAGAGTTGACTGTAGTTTACTCTCACAGTGCCTCTTTCCACCCAAGTAAATAAATGGGTACCGGTGACTTAAACGCTGGGGGTAACCCTGTGATGGACTAGCATCTCATTCAGGCAGAAGTAGAAATACTCCTAGTCACTTCATACTACAGAAACCAGGATAAGCTCTGGCCTGATGGGTCACTTAGCTTGCATGAAGACTTTACCTACCTTGCCAATTATATCAAGGGTAACTCTTGCAAATTCATCAACCATCTTCACTGGAGTGCTTCCATCAGCCAGCTGACTCAGTTTCTCCAGAAACCCATCACCAACTGAATTAAAAGCATCCATTAAGTTCATGAGGTACTTCCTGTGGAACGCTGGGTTCAGCATGTTTCGCTTCCGACTCCAAACTTCATGATCGAGCTCCGTTAAAATGCTGCGACCGACTGCTCGTTGGCCAAACACGTAACTTAGAAGGGAATACACGCGATGGGCTTTTGGCAAATTCAACGTGACAAGCGCTTTCTTTGCCGAATCTGGATCCGACAATATCGCAACTGGGACATGGTAGATCCACATAACGTAAACCGAGCCATATTCGTGATACCAGTTGTACCAAATAACAGTCATTCCTCTGCCTGGAACTCTTTTCTTTTCCTTTCGAATAAAAACAAGATTTCCGGTGAAAAAGCCATCCCTAGCTGGCCCGGGAATGTGCCGGTAACGCCAGTGTTGGTAGAGGACGTACAGGCTAAACGAAACGAATCCAAAAGTGACAAGGGAAGCTAACGTCACAGTGGCAAAGCTCAAAGCTGTTACAGCCATTTCTATCCTTTATGACCCTTTGTACAACGTCAGGAGCTCATCACTTAACAACGACTGTTGTTTGGCAAGTGGAAGATTCTTTCTCCGCCAGGAGCCTTCTATCTCGCAGGCTTGTACTTACCAATAGACGGTTTGAAATTATAGCTCAACAAATTGTCCTGTGACAATCACGATGTGCGATTGCTCCAAAACGCAATCTGTCAAGCGAAACCTCCTGCTACCTGCTACGCACGACTTTCAGGGCCGCCATTTTTCTTTCTTTAGTCCCCAGGCTCCCGTTACCGAGAGGCGCACTCTCGTTCCCAGAGCCTAAGTTACCTCTTCTGGACAAGGGTAACCTGGGGCCCGTTTCTCGAAGGTCCCGAAAAGGTTTCGCACCCTGAAAGCCATAGCAAAATCGCGAACCTTATGATTACAGAGTTGTTTTATTCACGTATTCTTGATATAAGCAGGGGTTTCCTTCAAACAAGAAGTTTCAAGCGTATACACTTCTCCGTTTTTAGATACAGATGGGCTGGGCTCTGGGAACGAATTGACGGGCGCAATACTCGCACGCATGAGCAGAGGGTCATCCGGGACGTTAGATGTACATGTGTCTGGTTGTCTCCATATGTATGGGTGTGTTGATGAACGTCATTAAAATAATTGTAATAAACAGATTAAAAAAATAATAAACAACTAAATAAATAAATAAATAAATAAATAAATAAATAAATAAATAAATAAATAAATAAAATAAGTAAATAAATAAATAAAATCAGTGAGCTTATGGAATTTTTCAGACTGATTTCCATGTCTCTGTAGTGGGTAAAAACTGGAGTGTGCAAAGAGAGATTTCTCACAAAAGAAACATCAAGGAACAATCACTGATACAGGTTGATTGATAATTTATTACCAAATTTATGGTTTAAAAATAGTTTTATAGCATAAAAGATAAAATTTTGAAAAAAAAATAACCTTTTATTACTACATTAATAAAACTGAGATAAAATAATCCCAGAAATCTTATGAATAAATTTAGAAACACTATTATTAACCCTTTGAATACCGAACTTTCGCCAAAAAATACTGTTTTTAACCGTTTAGTCAGGTTTTTTAGCTGTCATGACGCTAACTAAGCCTAAGTTTAGCTAAAAAAGTTTTTTTTTAACTAAAAGGAGAGATTTTTCGAGGATTAGGTACAAAATTGAGCAAAACTTCAATTACGGGCATGCACATAAGCCAAAATTTGGACTTCATTTTTTTTTTTTGCCATTAACCTTTCTCAATTTTGTTTGTGGGCCCTTTCCTTTCTGTTTTTTTCTGCCCTTTTACACTCATGGCTACCTTTTGCATTGTATGTCCTTTCTGGCTGCAGTGAAAAGTTGGATGTTAATTATAGGCAAAGCCTAGAAATGGACCTTGATCAATCATAGGTGTTGTGGACCATTTTACCACCGTTTTGGACCAAAACCAATAACCTTGTTTTTCGATTTGCGACGTCGGAATGTCATCGATATCTAAACCTGACCATTCTGCGGAAAGGGCTAGCCTAGCACTACTATCTGCTTATCAAGAATATCTGATGACATTTAAATAGATGACGTCACAAGTGGTACAAAGAGCACGACCATTAATTACACATATATGCGTAGTTGGTATTCAAAGGGTTAAGCCCCCATAATCTTTATAATTTGTAAAAATCATTTCTACATATAAGCCCTCCTGAACGTGATCTCTTACAGCCTCGAGCAGGCCCTCTTGTTTGAGTATCTCCAAGTGGCTACAATTTACATGCCTGGGGGCACTCCCTATGTCTACATGGGGAGGCTCTGTCCAGGAGGGGTACCTTTCTCAGGCTTCAGGTATATAAAAGGGCGAAGGGTAGGGATTTCACAAGTTGAGCCATCTGAAAGGGTGCGGTAATCAGAGTATCTTGACTGGTGCCGCAACATGAACTGACCAAATACTACTTGTTTTTTGGTTAACATCTCCTCTGGCAGTGCTTGCTGTTCTCCCATAATATTGTTCGTAATTTTGTTCCCAGGGTTTGGAAAAGGGTTGCAGTTCTAAAGCAGGTATGTGAAAGAGGCACCTTTTCCAATAAAAGGTATATGGGGTAGGGTAGCTTTTCTGTGAAAATGGTATACAAAAGGATAAGGGGTTGAACCTTGGGGCAGAGCCTCCCCGTATAAAACTTTCTAGAGTAGTCCCCTGGGTTTACAAGCCAGCAACTAACACAGGCCCACCCATGAGGAGTAAGAGAGCCTGCTGACTGGTGAGTAATCCCATGATTGGGTGCAATGAAATTTCTTCCTGTTACAAAGCTCCACTACTGTTGGGGTTGATTTTTAGTTTTAATTGTATCTGTAACAAAATTCTCGATCGGGATTTGTTCTCTGCACGCATATTTGACACGTAATCGGTGCGCGATCATGTGGGTGTCCAATTACAGGTATCCAATCTGAACTTTTTGTAATTGGATACCTGTAATCAGATACCCTCGTGATTCGCTCATCAATTACATGTGCTTTAATGGCTTCCTTTGCAATGTTTCCTACAGTTTTCAAAACTTATGAAAAGTGCTACAGACGTGTTCGCTCAAAAGAAGTTTTTAAAAGACATTTCTAATTCCGAAATTTGTTATAGATACAATTAATTAGTAATTGGACCTTGTGTCGTACAATTCAGGGAAAAATTGTGCTCGTAATTTCAAATTGCCCTCACGCTTTGCACTTGTCTGATTTTTGAATTACTCACACGATTTCTCCCTGAATTGTACTCCACTCGGTCAAATTACTATTACATATTATCAGTATATTTCAATCTTCTGATGCAAACATCTGATGATCTCACAACTTAGACATTAATTTTATGTTTGGAGAGTTGAGAAGTGCAGGTATCTAACTCTAGTTTTGACTCTAACTAACTCATGGTGTAAGCAAACTCAACTTGAAAAAATAAGCCTACCAAAAAATAAATACTTACAGCTTAAAATAATATCCAGATTTTTGCATCATATTCAGTAAATTGGATTCTCAAGCTCCTAATCTTCAAAGGGGATCTTGATTACTTAACTGGTCTACAGCTCACCCAATAAAAACAACACATGCTCAGAAATACCCTAAGTTAGGCTAACAAGAGAGAGTAATCCTTGCAAAATTTAGTTCTTGAGTCATGTTCGAAAAAATTATCATGTACTTTCTTTAAACAATT